ACCCTTGTAACTATAGAGGTTCACCTGCAATAACTTCAAACCATTCGTAATTGCCTCTAACGTGTTGCTCAGTGTTGATAAAGGGTGAGTGATTTTTGTTCAAGTACAAGACAAGTTTTGGGTTCCATCCCGAACCCCCTTGCGAACCTCAATCGTGGAATGAGCCAAAATTGTCGCTCTTACATAATGTTCTTGAAGACGGGTTTTGCGTGGGGTCAGTTGAGTTGTCGGTAATCAACTTTTTACTCAAATAATATAAATAAAATTAATGATAAAAAACCAAAATCTTAAGAAATAAACCAAAAAAAAAAACCTTATTAAAAACATTAATTTGAATATAAAAATTATTGCAATTTCTATTTAGAATGATGGTTTTGGCATAGTTGCTTATGTAGTTGTGGATAATCTTTTTTCTTATAAGATATTTTGGTTTTTTTTTTTACAAGGAAATTCATAAAATTAAAAAGTAGTTCATGGGCTTGAAAAGAGTTGGGCCTGAAGCCTGATACTGGGCCATATATTGGATTCAGAAAAGTTGGGCTGGATTACATATGGTTGGCCCATATAGAGCTTACCTCTAAAAATATTAACGTGAGACTAACATTTTTTTGGCTTACTCGATGATTGAGCTTAATCCGGGAGGAGGGAGGTATGCGGGATTGAACTCAAGATCTCTCTTGTATTTGAGTAAAGTCGTCCTACTCTTTGCCAATTGATTAACTGATTAAAATTCCTTCCTATGGGTATTAGGTGCGGACATAGGCTATGTTTGTCAAATTAGTTGATTAACTAGTTGATAACTGATAAGCTAGATGTTGGCTGACAAACTAGTTGATGACTGATAACCTAATTGGTGGCTGATAAACTAGTTGATGACTAATAAGCTAGTTGGTAGGTGATAAGGTAGTTGATGAACAAATCATGTTTGACAAAAACTAACAAATAAGCATGTAAAATAACCTAAAAGAGCAGAAAAATTAGTCAATTAAAATAATTTTATAATGTTATTAAATCAAATATTTTAAATTGATTATTATATATACTATAAATTTTGGATTTATTAAAACAAAT